GCTAAAAAAGTTATGAAAAATGATATAAAACTCGACCAAAACAAAATAATATTTAATGTGATAAGGGTGTTACAATGCTAAAGTTAATCAACAAGAAAATCTGCAAACAAGTCTGTTTCTAGATGATTCATACTATTTCTAAAAGAGGGGTTGTGACTCATTTAGTAAAACTGCAAATATATAACCAGTGTGTGTAGTGACAGTCGAGGGGTGCACATCGTGAGTACGTGAAATTCGGCTAGTGTTTTGCGCTTATTTAGAATTACATTTCTGGACGTTTAGTGAATATAATTTTAAAAGTAGTCAATAGAATTTGTTCTCCGTAAATTCTTATGTAATGCCTCCTTCAGAGAAACGGGGTAAAGTGTATCATTCCCAAGCTAGAACGATAATTGCGTCTGTCCTCCAGTATTTCGAGCGAGAACGCGACAACAAAGGGTCGCTAAAAGACGTAAAGAAAGAGTGTCCGAAGCGTGTCAGGTGTCGATACGGACCGTGGGAAGAATAAAGGCGGAGTTGAAAAGTGTTAGTGTTGGTGCTGATACATCTAATTCTAATGACATTCAACTGGACTTAGCAGAAGAAACTGAACAAGAAGCTGTAGCTGTATGTAACCACTCGACTCCTGTACTTCAAACGCCAAAAAAGAAAAAGCACAAGCAGTCACGGTTCTCGCTCATGGACGATTTTGACAGAACTGCGATTCGTCGGCACGTGGTAAATTATTACAAACGCAAAGAGGTACCAACGCTCCGAAAACTTCAGGTCACACTTCATGAGGCAAGTCTATTCAGTGGCTCAATACGAACGTTATCCAAATTGTTGAAAAACCTTGGTTTCCGCTGGAAAAAGCTCAACAAAAGAAAACTGCTAATGGAAAAACCTAGTATTGCTTTATCTAGGTGTAGATTTTTAAGAAAAATGAAAAATGTTGATATGAAAAATGTAATTTTCCTTGATGAAACGTGGCTTAACGCCAACTCAACAAAGGAGGTGGGATGGACGGACGACATGTCTGATTGCAACTTAAATGCTCCGCTCGGAAAAGGGAAAAGACTCATAATATGCCACGCAGGAGGATACAATGGTTGGATAAACTCACCACCATTGATTTTTGAATCAAAAAAGACAGTTGATTTCCACGAGGAGATGAACCACGAAGTTTTTGAAGGCTGGTTTTTTGAGGTGTTGTTAAAATCAATCCCAGCTGGCTCTACCATAGTAATGGACAATGCCCCCTATCATTCCCGGGTGGATAATCCAGCACCAACAACATCGTCTAGAAAAGGGGAGTACATTGACTGGTTGCATAACCGTGGAATTCCATTTACTCCAGATATGCGTAAGCCTGAACTCTACAATCTCATCAAACTTCATAAGCCCCAGCTTACTTCCTATGTTATTGACAACAAAGCTGCTGACCTAGGATTTAGAGTAATCAGACTTCCACCATATCATTGTAATTATAACCCCATTGAAATGGTATGGGGCCATTTGAAGCGGTACGTAGCATCAAAGAACACCACATTCAAGTTGTCAGACGTTCAGGCACTCTTCATGGAAGCTGTGAACTCCTATCCCCCCGAAACCTGGGAAAAATGTGTCAAGCACGTGAAGACTGAAATGGACAACGATTGGCTTAGTGAAGGTCTCGACGATACCAGTGTGCAGGAACTAATCATTAACCTGGCTCCAGGGGACTCGGATGTGGATGACAGCGACTGGGACAGCGATGAGGACGACGACTTGGGAGTCGCACAGCTTGAATGAGTAAGTTATTTCCCTTATATATAAAAAAAACAAAAAACAGTATTTATCAGTTTTGTGGGGTCAGTTTTAATAAATGGAATTATTTTAATATTTAAAACTATAAAACTTCTACTTATTAAAATACTAGATTGTAAACAAACGTATTATTATTAATTTATAAAAATTATAGTTATCATAAAATACCGTGTATAATCTGTTTTTTTAAGCTTAATTCTATTTTATTTTACTAAGAAGTTAGAAAAGATGTTTTTCTAGCATAATTGAATCTTTCAGCTGACAACTTTGCTCAAATTAAATAAATGGTTTTCAATTTTTCGTCAGTCAATTTGTTTACAAACAAATCGTAAGCTACTTTTTACTTACTTATTTACTTAATTACCTTTTTCTCTTGCAGAGAGAACACAAGAATCCATATTTAAGAAGACCTTGCCAGTGAAACTATCAGAAGCAATTACAGACCACTGAAGATTTAATTTGGTTTAATAGTTAATAATTTGTTGTACAGTATTTTTTTTTTTTTTATTGATGTGTATGATTTGTTTTGTATAGTATTTTGCATTGTACAGTATATAGCATGTTGTATATATAACGTTTTGACTGATTGTTATTGTAATTCGTATTAGGCTTATTATATCTCATTAAAAAAGATGTACTATTAACAAATTCTACGGTAAATTTAATTTTACCCAAACAGTCCCGAACTTAACCTTTTACTATTGATTTACAGCTTATAACTTGTCTAACTCCTTTTGTTCAGGTCGAGTTTTATATCATTTTTCATAACTTTTTTTAGCAGATTTCAAATACACTTTTGAAAATGTAAAATTATTACTCTGTTAAAAAGTTTTACCATTGTATAAACACAGCCAGTAGGTGACTCATCGCCTAGACATCGGGCTGCTCCGGCGAACACTGCGAGGGATTATAGGGGTAGCCACAGGTAGTCCCGGGTCCATCGGCCAACTTGAAGTATACGCAGTATAAGTGTTATCAAAATTCTCTTTGTTAGCTAGTGTTGACAGTGGTCAATCATGTTCTTCAAGTTAATGTTGTATCATTTATATCATTTGCTTATTGTTCAACTTGAAAAGATTGTAAAATAAATAATGTAAAAAAATACCTTGTTGATTTCTGCTTTTTTCCCGAGTCCCTGGGGGTCAAGACCTTTAATTTAATTAAACAATTTAAGAAAACATTATATAACGTAAAATTAATACGTCTCCCAATTTTCTGCGACTTACCAGACGTCCACAATTTTCTGGTAAAAACTTTGCCTTATAGAATTATATATAAGGATCTATCTATGTATATATATATATATAGATTTATGTATATACGTCCGTGAACGCGATAACTTGAGTAATTTTTGTCTGTTTTTGATGAAGGCGGGATAAACTTGAATGAGTTCGCGAACCAGCATGATCGGACCATAGGAACGGGGTTTTACGGGGGCTTTTATGGGAAAAATGGTTTTCTCATTTTTTTAAACCTCAAAACACAAAATTTCTCAATTTCTCTCTAGACCTTTTTAAAGAGCTAAAAAAACAAATAATTTAGTATATCTCGAAGTGTCTTTTTTACGGTTATTAGTAACGGGGAAGTAGAGGGAATACGGGGGTTCTACATCGCCCGAAGAGGACCCTCTTTGGGCGAGGTGAGTTATTGGTTGAGATGTGGGGGCAGGTGGTATGCGGGTGTGGTTTAGTATGTAGTGTGTACGTACTAACCTTACTTAATGTACTGCATACGTAGGTTGTCTGCTTTCCCGCCATAACGTTACATTACGTACTTATACGTAGGTACCTTTGTTTATTAAATCAATTATTAAACTATATTTGTTTATTTGTTAAATTAAATTATGAATAAAAAGTGTGCCTCGACTGGGTATCGAACCCCGGTCTCCTAGATGAGGGGTTGAAGTCATATCCATTGGGCCACGATGCCAGTTACAGGTCCTGCGTTTATAGTGGTAAATGACAACCTCAATTTCCTAATGTACATATGTACAGAGTGTGTAATATACTTAAAAACATTATACTTTTATTCTATTTAATATATCTATATGTTGTAGTCCGTTACAAATGTCAAACAAATGATAATTATGGTATCCGCTGTTAAAAACGGTTGAAAAAAGATTTAAACGGAACTTAAACTTAAACGGAGCTTAAAAACGGCCTTTCTAAAGGCCACCAATTGTTAAATGTTAAATGGACATTTCATAGATGTTATGTTTTCGTGGGATGATATATTATCTGAATAATGTTTTTTCTTAACAGTTGACTGTGTATGAGCCAGAGGTTCATGGGTTCGATCCTTACCAATCACCAAAATGTTTTTCTTCTGGTAATATAGCAGATATGTTGTAAAAATAGGTTTTCCTATTTTTGACCCTAAAAACCCAAAATTTCAAAATTTCTTTCCAAACCATTTTGTAGAGCTTAAAAACTAATAATTTAGTATATTAAAGCATTATAATGCACCTATTGGTTACGGAGAAAAGTCCAAAAATGTTTAAATTTATAATTCTTATGTTATTTATAGGGAGAAAAAGCCAAATGTTATAGTTTGCATGTTTATGAACATATTTTGATCAAATTTGGAAAATGCATTCATTTAGTACTAAACTATTAATAAAAAATAAAATTATAACACTCTTTCACCTTCCCTGTTGCAGCAAACCTAAGAATTCGTTTAAATCATCCAATTTAAATAGGTAATAAATGTGATAATTTTAAGGATACATTTTAGTGTAAATCCAATCAGGTAAATGGAAATTCGCTAAGCATGCAGGTTTGCTGCGGTGGGGGTATTGCTAGAAGTATCGTGTCTATGGCGGAGTTTAGTAATACATCCTTCATTCTTCACACCCATTTTGTTATAGTAAACTTAACACAAAAAAGCTTAGAATTAAGATCTTAAATCCCAAACTGTAAGTTTTAGTAATTCAGAAAAAAACACACTTCCTGTTGTGTTTATTGGTCGGTGGTTCGTTAGTTAAAAAGCCTCTAGAGAAACGTCAACCTCACCACCATGCTAGAGGTCCCTCTTTTTCTTCTTTTATTATTTTTTCATTTTTTCTTGTTTTTCTTCTTTTTTAAATTTTTCTCATATACATTTTCTTCTTTTTTATTAATAATTCCAGTTATTTATTGGGGGGAAGAGGTTCACACAGGTCTAGACCAAATAACCCTGTGCTATGGAGACCCCCCTTATGCAAAATTACTTCAAGCTTAGTCTGTCGAAAGTGAGTGTTCTTCTTCCATCTCTACGAACTCTTCTTGTGGGATTTTTGAGTGTCCCCACGGTAAGGAGCTTATCCCATTGGATAAGATGTATCTTTTATCATCATTAGCTGATAATGCAATCTTGTTTAGCTCAACACTGTATAAATCATGCTTGTAGCTTCTTATCATATTCATCTTGCAATACCGGTCAACACGTGTTTTTAAACAGTCCTTATAGTCTTGAAAAGATATGGTATTTTCCACTACTGATTTGGTTATACCTTTACATCTTTTTATGAGATGTTCATCTTCAGATCTGCTTGCATACATCTTTGATCTTAACCCTGCGTGTTCATACATGATTTTTCCTTTGAGTTCATCTTTGAATTTTCCAATAACCTTCTTGTTTGTGGTGCTGAAGCAGGGGTGATTTGGTGGATAATCGCTAGTGTCAAAGTAATTTATCATCTTCTTCATGTCATCATAGAAATCCTCGGTTTGTATGTGATAGGTCAGACTGTCTGTATCAGTATATTGTAATTGAGCTTTGTCCTTGTATCGAGCTTTTATTACATTGTAGTGGAAATCGTACATTAGCGTCTTTGATATATCTAAGATACTCATACCCAAATAAATAGGTTTGTTAAATAACAGTTTTGTTTTACTCATATGGAGAGCTGCCAGTTGATCTGTAAAAATCGTTCTCCTCTTGAAGTTGGGTTGTGCCAACCACTTGTCTACTTGTTTTTCTTTCGTTGCCAACCGGATGTCTACTCGATTTCTAACATTTTCCATCGTCTTTCCAAAAACACTATTATTCATTAGTTTGTAAAAGTCCTTGTCAAATTGATTTGTAGCACTTGTTCTCTTGTTGGTATTCAAATCTATGTAGGGTTTGAGCCAGTTCTTTTGTTTAAAGCTGATTGCTCTATGGATTTTCTTTACTTTCAAACCGAGAGACATATATTGTTTTAGGTTTCTGTAGTGTGTGACGTATTTTTCTTTATCGTATAATGTTGCTAGCAATTTCTCTTGTCTGGATCCTGGAGGAATTCGGCGTTCAGGTGCTAGGGGGAAATCAGAGTGTAGATCGTGCAATTCTTTTGGATACTCCAAGTCCACTTCTAAGATATATCCAATGTCACTATCATCGGGAACCTTTGTTACGTCAATAAGGTGGGCATCTTCAACCCATTTGAATTCTGCATATGGCATGTGTTGGCACATTGCCCATCCATATAAGTTGTTGGCATCAAGATATGTTAGGTATGATGAAGGAGTATCTTTATCATAATTATTCTCATCCATATATTTATTGTTGGCGGCTGCGTAGCGGTTTGAAACTTGTGATAGACCTCCCCGAATTCCGTTGCCAATCATCAAAATCATGTTGTAATCAGTTAAAAGTTCTAGTTCTATCCTGGTAGTCTTGAACATGGCACTCCACGCTAGTCCGGGAGCTGTATAATACCATGCAGGGTCGAGCTTGTAGGTCTGCATACACACATTCCTAAAATTTTCCATGACGTCGGCTAACTGCAATACATCTGACTTGTTGTACAAGAGAGTATATTCCTTCATATTCTTTATCTCAAAAGTCCTCCATACCTCACTTGCATGCTGGTAATCTTCTTCTTTAATTTCAGACATGGTCAACTTGTTGTAAAAGTCCGTTTTTGGTAGTAATGATGTACGCTCATATTTATCTAATGAGTCCATTGCATCATATGGATACACACCCTTTTGAAGCAGGAGTTGTAGCTGTTTACCTGAGTAGTATTTTGATGTATGTTTGAACTGAGAGGGTGTCAAGTTTTTGACTAGTTCCCCCAAGCTACTCGACATGAATTTCAATGAATCTACGAATCTCAGATCAATACCTCCTTTCACATGAATAGTATATGAAATATATCGTTCTTCGTTGTTAGGGATAACATCGATGGTCTCATTGTTTAATCCAAACATTTTAATAAATATATGAGTATCGTAACCAGAAAGGTTATGGATAAATATTGGGATAAATGATGGTTTTTTAAAGTTTAAGTTACAGCTATTGTGTGCAGGACCTCTGAATTTTCCTGACAGATGATCATGATCCCTAACTAATGGATCTTGTGTTGTAAACTCTCCTCCACAAATGTGACATTGAGTAGCCATTGAAATAGTAGTAAGATTCTCCTCTGAAAGTATCATGGGTTTGACAGCTTCTTTAGAATATAGATGTCGTATTTTCTTCGTCTCTTCGAGCATCCTATCTACAAACATGCGGGGTGCATCCTCGCCAAAGTATGTTACTGGCGTTCCATAATTGTGTTCTTCATTTACTATATAATAAGAAAAACTAATTGCATCATGTTTCTGGTATTTCTTCGTGTACGATCCTGTCGTGTCTTCTTCTTCTTTGCTGGTAGACTGTATTTTGCTGAGCATACATTCGAAGTCAGCATATATTGTGAATGGCACTCTCATACTTCTGTTGTAATCCTTAAACTTCAATACTTCTCCTTCATTCGGCATTATAATTTTTACTGGTTCATGTTTTTTGCAATATTCCTTGTGCATCTCCAACAAATCTTCTGTTCCAAAGTGTAATAAACATCTCCTACATAGCCAAATACGATTCTCGTGTTTTGTTTTTTGTGAGCGCACGAGTCTACTAAGGTCATTAATTAGACAATAATGTGAATTTCTTCCGTCTTTTAAGTAAAGCAAGTCTACATGTAGCTCCTTTTCTTCGTTGGTTGTAAGTAGGGGGAACACTGTAAATTTTTCATCATAGCTGTATACATTGATAGATATCCCAGATCGCTTTTCAAACAACTTCACATTGTTTAAATCTATCGGAAATTCGATCCCTTGTAGAACACTATCAAACTCGTGTTCATATTGTCTGTAGTTATGTACTCTATGTGGGTTCTCGTTAAACCCTACTGGATGAATGGCTGCGAGCACTGACCACAGGAAACATTTATAGTCGTTGTTTTGAATATTGATGATAGCTTTCTTTAGTTTTAATGGTGTCGGTAAATCGATGTAGGACGATCCTCTCAGAGGAACATAGCGGTTGATTCGTAGTTCAATGTTAATAATTTTACTTAGAGTCCAGCCCGACCCTTTCGATTGAAATTCCTCCATCTCTTTCAAAATCTTTTCCTCCTTTCTTCGCAGCTGTTCTTCGATGTCATCAGTAGGATATAACGTTACGTTTTTTGTTTTGAAGTTCATTTCTTGCATAATTTCTTCATCGTTACTTATTTTTTTGTATTCAGTCAAGAGTACAAAGTTTATTTTAATGTTGTGCTTTTGCAAGTTTTCACGCACCTTATCACTTAGTAAGTTTCTTGAAAGTTGAAAAAACTGCTTTGTATCTTTAATGGGTGATTTATTTTCAATTAAATATGTTTTCATCCTGTTCTTGAACGCCTTTTCCACTTCAATTATTTTCAAACTTTGTTTAGGATTTTTGGTTTTAGCGTTGTTAGGGTCCTCGATGAGTAATGATGATCTGATGTTATCAATATTGGAGCTGGCAGTAGGTTGGGTGATGCTGGTCGATGGTTGTGTATCCGCTGGACGTAGTTTCTTTGGAGCTGGTGCATATTCACTTTCACTTTTCACTCTGCAACGCTTAAGATGACGTGTCCTATGTGATAGTGTAATCAATGTTCCACAAAAATCACATGGCCTCTGGGGTTCGATGGTGTTTACTTGTTCCCCGAAACATTTTTTCAAGTGACGCGAAAAGTTTTTTGATGAAATAGTCTTTTTACACTTGTCACAAGTTTTTCTCTTCATGTTTTTTTCAATAATTCTGTTTTTCTGCAAATAAAAACAATTTTCTAACAAAATTTCATAAAAAGACAAAAGTAATGTAAATACAAAAAACTATTCAAAAACTATTAAAAAGATAAATCCTCAAACGATCTAATATTGGTAGTACAGAAACTGTAGTGCAAATGATCTTCACTCCTCGGCAGTCGAAGACTTAATGACTGAGGGACTCCTGCGACTCTATTTATACCCTCGGTTATTCAGATTTTGATAAAATGTGGTATTAAAGAGACGAATTTACAAATGATGAATAATTGGTAGGGTTTTTGTTTGGTTGAAAAGGTAGTATAATGATCCTCACTCCTCAACAGTCGAAGACTCAATGACTGAGAGGCTCCTGCGGTTCTATTTATACCCTCGGTTATTCAGGTTTCGATAGAATTTGGTATTAAGGAGACAAATTCACAAATCATGAATAATTGGTAGAGTTTTGGCTTGAAAAGCCAATTATTGATCGGTAATGATCTTCACTCCTCAACAGTCAAACAACAGCCAAAAGAATCAATGACTTTGAGACTCGACCTGCAACTCTTTTAAAGTCCCTAATCGCCTTATTTTAGTAATATTTGACGTGAAATAGTTAAATACCTCCTTTCGTTCAGTTTTATCAAACTTAGTATAAACATGTTATACCACATAAATTTAATTAATTTCATGAACTAGGATAATATAACTATAAGATGAGGGATTTATGGGTATTTAAATGGGCTAGACATTGATTTGTAAGATTTCTAAACTTAAGTATGAGGGTTCTGCTACTGTAGTGTATTTTAGTTTAAATATCAACCAGTTATAGCATATAACGACACATTAAAGGTTTATTGAAATATATTTATAAAGAAGTAAGATATAACTTCTTGATCAGCATTGTACATGTTATTGAATTTACATGTCATTCGCCTATTATATATATATATATTCGTCTATACCCTATTGACTGGGACGGGTGGCGTCGTTTTATAATCCAGCTACTAGGAGGTCTTGAATTATGGATATATGCACTGTAGATAAGATTCTCTCTAGTGTGGATTAACGTCCGCAGGAGTAATTACTACGACTGTCCGCAGTACTATCCTGATAATTAGACCAATTCTTATATGCCAAGGCTAAAAAATGTGGGTTGGATTCCACTATAAACTGTAGGTCCCTTAATTACAATTAGCTGTATGGCATATCAATTAACAGCTGTGTCTAAGAAATATGTCGGCCTTAGTCACTAACAAGACTACAAGATCGTGCTACTTATCCTACACTCATCACCATTCATACTTGGTTTAAAATACCTACTATGTATAGTCGCAATTTCATCGAAACGTTTAAGTATTGGGTCTGATGATGATTGGAGTGTCCAATCAAAATCGATCACCACTTGCCATCTTTTTTTTGTATTTTGGCCGTGTTGTGAGTAACAGTATAAGCGTAAATATATCTTTTAGGTGATATAAGACAACTTTTATTTACTTTCCGTAAGTAAGATATGTTATTTTATAGATTATCCTTGATAATGAAGGTTATTCCAAGAAAGCTTTTAGTTTTCCTCCTGACAACTTAACGTGATTTAATAACTCGAATAAGTGGGTTTTAAGTAGTATTAATACTCCATGTCAATATTGCGTCATTAAAACATACCATTTGACACAATAAAAAAAAAAGATTTTTGAAAACATTTTTAAAACCTTTTTAAAACCGTTTGAAACCAATTTTGCCTAATATAAACATAAAATATCAGTAATATCACATACACTTATTCACGTTCGTGAACAAACTTGATTAAACCATAACAAGGAGGAATTTGGCATGAACATATAAAGTCATATAATCTTATTTGCGTTAAACCGTCCATGTGATATGAAGAGATGAAGTTAGATGTGAATTTGATAATATATAGATATATATATATATATATATATTGTATATATATATATATATATACAATGATATGAACAGGTATTTTATGTAGGCATAATTCAGGGATGAACATAAGATCACATAAGCTTATTTGAGTTTGACCAAAATGACTAAACCACGGAATAATTAGAGGTTTAAATGGGTCAAAAGAAGGAATTTTTAATCTATTTGTATCGTTTTTTAAATATAAGTATTGTAATAGAAAATACCATTACGGTATATTATTAATAAGTATATAATTGATTTATAATCATTAACTCAGCTTGATCGGTAAAGAAATAAATAAAAACATACACCCTTAACAGCAGATCAGCGCATTCAGCAAATTTCCAATATTTTTTTCTCGTCAAAGAATACATTAGGATATAGGTATATTAGGTTAGCTGTTTCAAAAGTTTTTAAATCAAATTATTAGTAACACCTAAAGGAAGACACATACCGATTTCAATGAACATATAAAAATCGATAAGGAAGGAGAGATAAAAAATGTTTATTCCAACTTAAAGTTTCTATCCATTTTTACTGTATAAATTTAAGGATATATTTGCTTTTTTATAGTTTTTACAGATCAGCAATAAATAAGAGATGTTTCTATGTACGATACGTTTCCTCCCCTTTGACTTTTGGATCCGGAAACAATAGATCCGGTCTATTGTTTTCCAAATCTTGGAGGTACTCACCCTATGTAAATTAAATGTCGGAATGTAAAAAAAAAATAACTTATAGAAACAAGTTTTAGTTTTTTATGCCTATTACTTTTTGTTATCAGTGATAAAAATCTGCACTTATATATATATCTAAATCTATATATATATATTTTTTTTTTTTTTTTTTTAACTTTTAAAATAGTTTTATATGAAGGTATTTGTTGTTGGTGCCAAATTAGTCGATGCTTGGTTACAATTACCAACTAAGCTCCTTTGACACTATACGATTTTTGCTCGTGTGGCTATTAATCATTATGTAATCGATCATTGGAGCTTTTGACTCCATTCACATTAATACGATTAGACTACCAATCGTGTACGACTTTCACCCGCGTAGCAACCGTAGGTGGGTTGTGCCACGGTCCGGTATCCGACTCCCGTACAAGTAATAACCGTGTCTAGAGCTGGAACCGTGCGGCCATACGTCTATTACTTAAAAAGTAAAATATTAATGGAAATTCTGTGACAGTGTATAGGTAATTTGTCCGGTTAAAAGTGATAATAGCTGAAACATTGTTTAGAAAATTAGTCAAACGAGCAAATAATAATCTAATTCATCACCTATTGGCATACATTCGAACCAACCTCCTAGTCCCTAAATACCCTCTTAAGTATGTGGATCAGTCTTAAAAATTCATAAATGGTTAGTACAACCGTTTAAAGATTATGTCAAGAAGGTAGGTTTTATAAAAAGAGATTTTTTTTAACCATACACTCCATCATAAAGAGATATAAACAATATTTATTTTGTATATAAAACAAATCCATGAAGTCATACGATTTATGAAGTATATTAGAGAGTAAACTTACGATCGTGGTGTTTTTATATTTTTACTTTCATAAAGCAGCAGTTCATTCTAAAAATGTTTTGTTAATTTTAATATTTTTTTTTATAATATTTTAAAACACGCTTTTACATGTTGCTTTCACCTGTAGAAAGCTGTTTTATTTTACGCTAACTGAATAGTTAAACAGTCAAATAAACACACGTTTTTATCTGTTTCTAAATCTTCGAATGTAGCAAACGATTAAATAATAATCAACAAATTAAATAATTTGTTAGAAACAAATTTTAAACATCTATATTTGTGTTGTCAAGGCTCACCATTATTTATGCTATAATTTTTTACTGATAACTTCTAATGAATGCTTAACGATCTGTTTCAATTTGAGTTAACATGTTGCAACAAAGTTTTTCCAGCATTGGGAATTAAAGAAAACTGTTACCTTACTGATAACCTGTCATTTAAGCTGGATCATTTTATTTCTTTGATTTGAGACATCCCCATAATCAAAAAAATTTTCTCTGTACAGAATCCTCAAAAATGGGGTGATATCAACCATTTCATGAGCTCCATTTTTTACCCAAAAACTCTGGGTTACCAGCTGGACAGTGATAATTTGCGTTGAATAGGCTAAAGCAGCAACACCATTGAGAGTTGGTTAACGTTTTTTAACGTGTTGTCTGTAAGTCACAGTATATGCCCCACATCAGAAAATTCTCACGTTGTTCAGTGGAGTTTCTCTTAATACCCTCTTAATGTCCCAAAGTTTGAAAGTATAGACTCATTTGTCGAAATAGGTTGGATAACTCTTGTAGCTATAAGATTTGAATTGCAATTTTCATTTCCTCTTTTTGAACATGGAAACTATTTGACTCTCCTAAATCATAAAAATAAACTTGACCGTATCTAATCGATCGTTGAATACATAAACACTAATTCCTTCACTTATGTTAGGTCTAATATTTTCACTAAAACTTTCAATAGTAAATGAGTTTTTGAAACTTCGTATTTTTGACTTAAAATGTCTGGATTGTGTTGGTGAATTCAGTCAAAAAACATTTTATAAGTTTGTCAGAGCAATTGGCAACATAACCTAGAAGTAAACAATCCATTTTGCGTTTTTTCTCAATTGAAGTAGAGCGAGTAATACAAAAGTTTACAATGAAAACATAAGGTCCGCCAAGATTTGGTATAATCTTACTACTTGAACTTATCATAGTCAAGGCATTAATATAGTTTGTACTAAATGTGTTGAAATATCTCGATCTATAAGTGTCAGAAGTAAACATTTCTTGCATATGCATTCGTTTGATCTGACATTAGGCAAAAATTAACATCGACCGAATGGGTTGCCATGCTGGTGACAAAATAACAATGAAATATAAACAGAAAATTTGTGATTTACTTGTATATAGAATGTATTTTTTGATAAAACTTGAGAAATCTTTTTATGTCATTGTAAGCTATTGAAAATTCAGGTAAATAACATTTTTTACCTTTTGTTGCAGTGAATCTAAGTAGGATCTATTCATAAAAAATAATGCTATTTAAATTGCGAATAAAT